TGCGTTGCAAACTTTTGACTGAAATTATAATACCCTCTGCAAGGGTATAAAAACTAAAATCGCCCTAAATCCAAGAAAAAATGTCTATATTTTAGTAAAAATGGCAGTTGTTTTTAGAAATTTGTTTCTTAAAATGAGGAATTCTTCCCAAAAATATAATTTACCTTAAAATATAGAAAACAAGAAAGGAAAGCTACTTTGGGCGGAGCCGAAGTTGATATACCCTTGCAGAATATTTTGTAAATTATATTCTCCAAAATTATTCATATGATGCATTCTTAATACTCAAAAAAATACCAAATTCCTAACTATGGGTTTTGTTTTTGGCCAATCAATCCAACCTACCAAATTTCATAAGGATCGGCCGACTATATCCTATAGCCGCCATATAACTGATTGATCGGAAATGCCATAACTTTGGTGTTTTTAAAGTTAGGAAGTTGGGATTTTCTATGGGTTTTATTTTTGGCCAATCAATTCGACCTACCTAATTTCATAAGGGTCGGGCTTATCCTACTATATCCTACATCTGCCATATGACTGAACGATTGGAAATGCCATAACTTTGGTGTTTGTAAAGTTAGGAAGTTGGGATTTTTTATGAGTATTTAGAATGCATTATACGAATAGTTTTGGAGAATATAATTTACAGAATATTCTGCAAGGGTATATCAACTTCGGCTCCGCCCGAAGCTTGCTTTTCTTTTATACCCTTGTTCCAAAAAGTGGTCTTTCTATTGCAGGTAGTATATAAGTCGGAACGAGCCAAATCGGGCGACTATATCATATAGCTCCCATAGGAACAATCGGAAAAAAAATTTTAAAGGTATAAATTAGTTGTTTTTAATTTTTTTGTTGTTCTTCGGAATTTTGTTATTTGGAAATCGAAATGTAGTCGTTTTGTAATAACTTTAAGGGTATGTAAACTTCGGCTTGGCGAAGTTTGCTTTTTTTTCTTGTTAGGGTTAATTTTTGTATGATTGTAGAAGCTTAAAAAAATCGATTTTTGCAAGGACCCTTTTCAAGTTTTATTGTTATATTTTAACAGTCTTCTCAAAAAAGTAATTTAGCGTCGCTTGTGAACAGTTGTGTTTACCTTTGTGCTCTGAGTTTTTGTATTTTTTCAGTGATTTTGTGCGAGTGTTTTGTGTTAATTTATTTACAAAGCTTAACTTAATACATATCTGTGTTAGAAATTTTAAATAGATCTCCCAGTAAACGGGTATGTGTTTAGAATTGGTTTTAACATTTCTATTAGATTTGTTTAATCTCGTAGCTTTGTTAGTGTAATTTACGCTCTCTATACTTGCTAGAACTCTTTTACTCCCTCTCAATCTCTCCCGCTCTATTTTATAACTGTAATTTACTCTCTATGAACTTCTGGTAGACTTGTTCGTTTATTTCTCTAACTCTCTCTCTCTCTCTCTTGCATGCTTTACTTTGCATTTGTTTATTGATTAAAGTTGTTGTGTTGCACAAGCCACGCTCAGTCGATATAAGATTTATTCTCTCGTGCTCTCTTTATTCGACTTAATTTCGTGATCTCGCGCTCTTACTTTTTTCGAGTTTTGTGGTTTTTGACAATTTGATTTGATCCCAGTGCCAAATTTACTTTGAGGTATTTTTCATATTCTTATTTTTTTATTTTGCTTAAAACTTACAATGGCTCTGGTCTGTTCTAAGAAAAATTGTACTCTTGCGTCTTCAACTAAAGACCCTTTTATTTTTTGCTAGCTCTGCGATTCGATGATGCACGTTAAATGTGCAGGATTTACTGGCAGAGTCAAAGATTTCATTGATGTGGCTTTATGAGGCAGACTCGAGACAGCTTATTGAATATCTCAGGAGCTTTTAAACAACTCAATGAGGGGTTCAATTCCGTCTTTGTTCCAAATAAACCGAGAACAAATAACAGGCCTTCCACTGTGCCAAAAAACTAAATAGTTTATTCTTGGCGTATCAAAATGTTAGGGGACTAAATATGAAGCTACACAAGCTTTATGCCGACTCCTCTGCATTCACCGAAGATATTTTGGCTTTTACGGAAACTTGGCTAAAACCAGAGATATCTGACTCTGAAGTTCTGTCAAATAACTTTAATACTTATAGGACCGATCGCTCCTCACGTAGGGTGGGCGGTGTACTGATTGCTGTTCTCACTCATATCCCAAACGAAATTGAATTTGTAAGTGTGAAAGTTTCTTTGCAATCTTTATCTATTTTTGTTACATGTTCCTATATTCCACCTGGCTCTGATCTAGTAATTTATGAGCACCATCTATCCGCAATAAAATCCGTACTATCCCTGATTTCTAACAGAGACCTTATGATTGTTTTGGGTGACTTTAATCTACCTGATATTTCTTGGTCTCCTCCCACTGACTCACTTGTCGCTATACCTTTATCCGCCCATGATTTTGTAGATGGTCTTTTAGAATTATCGTTACAGCAAGTAACAAAATATGTAGTGGCTCGATCGGATTTTAATGTTCTCAACAGTCATTGCTATTCTATGTATCTAAATCGATGTAAATTTGAATTTTCAAATGATCCGAAACAGTTTTTCAGCTTTGTTAATGCCAAGCGTAAGTCATCGGCATTGCCTTCATCGGTACGTCTAAACTCAATGGAGGCATCGACGGATTCTGACATTGCTGATTTATTTGCTGAGTTTTTCCAAACCACTTATAGTTCGACAGCTTGGTCAAATTCTAACTACCCTAATCCCTTGAATAGGGCAAATTGTATTTTTTCCCCTTTAATTACTGAAAACTCTCTCTTAATAGATTTAGAAACAACAACGCCGACTTATTCTCCCGGTCCAGATGGACTTCCTGGATGTGTGCTCAAGTTTTGTGCGTCAACCATTTGTAAACCGATTCTTAAACTTTTTAATTTGTCTATTTCATCATCAGTTTTTCCTACTATCTGGAAGGACTCTTTTATTATTCCACTTCATAAAAAGGGTGCGAAGGCTGATGCCAAGAATTATAGAGGTATTTCCAAATTGTCGGCAATTCCTAAAGCATTTGAACGTATTATCACTTCTCATTTGCAACATTTATGTTCCTCGCTTATATCACCGTGTCAGCATGGTTTTGTTAAGCGAAGATCGACCACCACCAACCTTCTTGAATTGTCATCAATTGTAATAAATGGATTTCAGAAAAAATGCAGACTGACGTTATATATACAGATTTTAGTAAGGCCTTTGACTCCGTCAACCACTCTCTTCTCTTATTCAAATTAGATCTGCTTGGGTTTCCTGGTAATCTATTAACTTGGATTTCAAGTTACTTGAATGGTAGGACTCAGAGGGTTATATTCAAGAATTCTGTTTCAAAATTGATCTACGTGACATCTGGAGTCCCTCAGGGAAGTCATCTGGGCCCTTTGCTGTTTACTTTGTTTATCAACGATCTTCCCTCTATCATAACACATTCTCGTGTTCTAATGTATGCTGATGATGTTAAGCTTTGTTTATCATATAATGATATAGCGTCGGGATTTAACTTACAGTCAGATATTGATTGTTTTCATGAATGGTGTGAGTACAACCTTTTAAAGTTGAACTACCTTAAATGCAACGTCATGATTTTTTATAGGGGTACTCCTACGTTTATTAGTTATTTTCTTGAAAATACGTCACTCGACCGTATATATTCAGTTAACGATTTAGGTGTTCTTCTTGACCCTAAACTTAAATTTGACTGCCACATAATGTCCACTGTTAATAAAGCCATGAGTGTTCTTGGCTTTATAAAGCGTTGGTCAAAAGAATTTGATGACCCTTATACGACCAAATTATTATTTACCTCCCTTGTCCGTCCTATTTTGGAATATTGTTCGTCGGTTTGGAGTCCACAATATCAAGTGCACATTGACCGTATTGAGTCGGTACAAAAAAAATTTCTTCTTTTTGCCCTTCGTAGTTTGAACTGGGATCAAAACGTAAGGCTACCTTCCTACCAGAGTAGATTACTGTTGCTTAATTTACCTACACTTGTAAATCGTAGAAAAATGCTTGGTACTATTTTTATGCATAATCTTATAAGAGGTGATATTGATTCTGCAGAACTTGTAAACCGCCTTACTTTCAATGTTCCTGTTATACTAACACGAAATTATATCCCTCTAAATTTGCCACGATGTTCATCAAATTTTTGTCTGCACGAGCCCTTTCGCGTTCTATGTAATACTTATAACAACCTTTATCATCTAATCTGCATTTCCACTTTTATCCCGTTACTAAAAACTAATATTTTAATTCATTTGCTTTTCTCTTAATTGTGCCTTTTATTTTCACTTGTGTCTTGTCTCTATTTAATTTATGTATTTTCCTCGCGAACTCGCATTGCCCAAATTGATAATAGGGCCCGCGCGTAACAAGCACGTGCTTGGTGTCGTTGGGCCACTTGTTTGTACTGCTCGTAGTGCATCAACGTCCATCAGATATAAAATATATGTCATATTATGCCTGGTACAAGCATTTCTCCGAGGCGTTTTGAGTGTGCAAGTGTCGTGCGGCGGGAAAATGCAGGTCGCAATTTTCATCTGAAACAAAAAAACCATAAAAAAAATATTTTTGAGTAAATAAAAACCCTGTTAATAAAGTAGTCGCCTTCGCACACTCTCTCGGTGGACATCGTTTTTTCTTGAGATAATAAACTTGAATTTTGTTCCGGATAGATTACCGTAATTGTCAACTTGTGGAGTTGGGATTACTTTTTATTTTGACCATAATATAATCATAATAATAATATTTGCACTTTATATTATACATTTATATTAAGTCTATTGCTGACGGCTAGTTCCAAGACTCATTAAACAGCATTTTGAATAAAAACTAATACTTTATTTTACAAACTAAAATGTTTAGATTTCAAAACCAAATTCATGTAACAAATGTACGGAAATGTACGCTTTCGCTGAACAATAGCTGTTATGCAGTGAAAAAACGATTTTATAACTATTATTATCTTTGTTGTTTATTTTTATAGGTGGCAACAGGAAGTGTCGGAAACAGTTTTTGAAACAGTCAATTCCGAGACCGATAGAATCGAACAAAAAAAAAAGGCAAAGCAAAAGCAACACTTCGATGCAGATGAAAAGGAATCTGATTGCATATTACATGGGTACATCAAAAAACTTGGAGGATCTTTTGCTTCTGTATGGCAAACTAAATATGCCAAACTATATCCAAATAGGTAGGTGTGTTTGACTCTGCAATCGACGGATTGTGTTTTTAAAATTGCATTTGGACTATATTATCATTTATATAATATGTAGCATTCGACCGAATTTGCTGTTAAATTTATTTGCTGGCCAAAAATAAAATTAAAACAAGAAAGGAAAGCTAACTTCGGGCGGAGCCGAAGTTGATATACCCTTGCAGAATACTCTGTAAATTATATTCTCCAAAATTATTCATATGATGCATTCTTGATACTCATAAAAAATCCCAACTTCCTAACTTTAAAAACACCAAAGTTATGGCATTTCCGATCAATCAGTTATATGGCGGCTATAGGATATAGTCAGCCGATCCTTATGAAATTTGGTAGGTCGGATTGATTGGCCAAATATAAAACTCATAGAAAATCCCAACTTCCTATCTTTACAAACACCAAAGTTATGGCATTTCCGATCAATCAGTTATATGGCAGCTATAAGATATAGTCGGCCGATCCTTATGAAATTTGGTAGGTCGGATTGATTGGCCAAATATAAAACCCATAGAAAATTCCAACTTCCTAACTTTACAAACACCAAAGTTATGGCATTTCCGATCAATCAGTTATATGGCAGCTATAGGATATAGTCGGCCGATCCTTATAAAATTTGGTACGTCAAATTGATTGGCCAAATACAAAACACATAGAAAATCCCAACTTCCTAACTTTACAAATACCAAAGTTGTGGCATTTCCGATCGTTCAGTTATATGGCAGCTATACTATATAGTCGGCCGATCCTTATAAAATTTGGTACGTAAAATTGATTGGCCAAATGTAAAACCCATAGAAAATCCCAACTTCCTAACTTTAAAAACACCAAAGTTATGGCATTTCCGATCGTTCAGTTATATGGCAGCTATAGGATATAGTCGGCCGATCCCGGCCGTTCCGACTTATATACTGCGTGCAAAGGAAAGAAGGGTGTGTGCAAAGTTTCAATTCGATAGCTTTAAAACTGAGAGACTAGTTTGCGTAGAAACAGACAGACGGACAGACGGACAGACAGACGGACAGACAGACGGACAGACGGACAGACGGACATGGCTATATCAACTCAGGAGGTGATCCTGATCAAGAATATATATACTTTATATGGTCGGAGATGTCTGCTTCACTGCGTTGCACACTTTTGACCAAAATTATAATACCCTCTGCAAGGGTATAACAAGAAAGGAAGTAAACTTCGGCAACTGACTTCGAAGTTTATATATCCTTGCAGTTATTACAAAACATTTTGATTTCTATGACTATATTACTAAAAACAATATGTCCATTTTGCGCTGCATTTTGTCATCGTTTCTATGGCAGCAATATGATATTGTTGTCCGATTTTGACAAAACTGTAAAAAAATGTTCTCCGCTTGTTCGTATGGGAACTATATGATATAGTCGCCCGATCCGGCTCGTTCCGACTTATATACTACCTGCAATAGAAAGACAACTTTTGGAAATGTTTTAAAGCAGATAGCTTTAAAACTGAGGGACTAGTTTGCGTAGAAACGGACAGACGGACGAACAGACGGACGGACAGACAGACGGACATGGCCAGATCGACTCTCCTGGTGATGCTGATATATATATATACTTTATAGGGTCGGAAATGTCTCCTTCACTGCGTTGCAAAATTTTGACTGAAATTATAATACCTTCTGCAAGGGTATAAAAAAATAAGTACTCTAGCACTATGGTGTAAAAATTAAAGTATATATTTGCCAGTAAATTTCGTTACGTATTATTATAGCCTTGCAGAAGGCATTATAATTTTGGTCAAAAGTGTGCAACGCAGTGAAGGGGAGGAGTCATCTCCGACCCTATAAAGTATATATATTCCTGATCGCGTCCTGAGTTGATATAAGCATGTCTGTCTGTCGTCTGTCCGTCTGTCTGTTTCTACGCGAACTTGTCTCTCAGTTTTAAGGATATCTAATTGAAACTTTGCACACACCCTTCGTTCTTTTGCACGCAGAATAAAAGTCAGAACGGCCGTGATATGCCGACTATATCCTGTAGCCGCCATATAACTGATTGATCGGAAATGCCACTTTGGTGTTTGTAAAGTTAGAAAGATAGGATTTTCTATGGGTTTTATTTTTGGCAAATCAATCCGACCTACTAAATTTCATAAGGATCGGCCGACTATATTCTATATCTGCAATATAACTGAACGATCGGAAATGCCATAACTTTGGTGTTTGTAAAGTTAGGAAGTTGGGATTAATGAGTATTAAGAATGCATCAAATGAATTATTTTGGAGAATATAATTTACAGAATATTCTGCAAGGGTATATCAACTTCGGATCCGCCCGGAGTTAGCTTTCTTTTCTTGTTAAATCTGTCAATGAAAATGTTTCACAACCTCAAACAAAATAGTTTTCCTAATTTGAGTTAAATTTTCTAAAAAGGCTTACGGGGTGGGTATTTTCATGGCCAGATTTGAATCAATCAGAAGTATACCAATCTAAACAATGAAATTATAATTTTTGTTAATAGATAACTTTGAATGAAAAATTAGCTTGCGTATAAAAGGAAGGTAGACGGCTGTATAGACTCGCCTGGTGGTGCTGATCACGAAAATTATGTTTTATAGGGTTATAGGGTCGGAAATGTCTCTTTTACTGCCTTGAAATCTTTTGACTGAAACTATAAGGCATAACATCCATAATCTTGATTAGCAACGCTATAGGTGAGATGATTACTTACCTTGGCCCACTTCTTTTTACTTTATTTATAAACGATCTCCCTCTAGTCTTGACAAGGTCGCGTGTCCTTAGGTACGCAAATGACGTTAAGTTATGCCTGCAATATAACGAAATTTCCAGCAGTTCAGACTTACAATCGGACCCAAATGCTTTTCAAACATGGTGTTGTGAAAATCTTTTGGATTTAAATAGCGCTAAGTGTAAAGTAATGACATTTTTTAGGGTGAACCCACAATATTCCACTTATACGCTTGTGCAGTGTTTAGAATTACGCATGTTGATGACCTTGGCGTCCTTTTTGACCCAAAACTTAAGTTTTGTGACCATATTACTTCTATGGTGAATAAAGCCAGGGGAGTACTTGGATTTATTAAAAGGTGGTCAAAGGAATTCGATGATCAATATGTTACAAAGACTCTGTTCGTTTCTCTAGTCCATCCAATCCTGGATTACAGTTCAGCAGTTTGGAGTCCTCAGTATGGTGTACATATAGACCGGAAAGAGTTTGTGCAAAATAACTTTTTATTATTTGCTTTACGGGGCCTTAACTGGAATGCAAGCCTTATTCTACCATCCTACTCTAGAAGACTTTTCCTAATTAATCTACCATCCTTATTAAACCGTAGAACGATGCTTGGTAAAACTTTTATTTATAAACTTATTCACGAGGATGTGGAGAGTCCCGAGTTACTGGGTCAAATAAACTTCTCCGTGTCTAATAGAATTACCAGGAACTATGTTCCTCTTACTTTAAATATTTGTAGATCTAACTATGATATGCATGAACCGTTTAGCGTACTGTGTAATGACTATAATAGACTATACCATGTTATTTCCACTACCGACACAAAATTAGTATTAGTATCAGTCTCGTACGTATTTCTAACTTAGTCTGGCCACTTCTATATTGTCACTTTTTCACTTCTCGTGATCTCGATTTTACGCCCATTGGGCTCCGCACGTAACAAGCACTGCTTGGTGTCGTAAGGACCACTTGTTTGCGCTGATCATAGTGCATCAACGTCCGAATTAAAATATAGCCAAGTCCGATTATCTTTCCGTTTTAAAGCAAACTAGTCTCGATTTTGAAGTTATTTGAAACTTTCCATAGAAATTGGAAAAACGGAAAGACAAAAATTATAACTTTCAAGTATGGTTTTCATAAACAATTTCTGCCTATTTTTCACCACCTGGCAACGCAGTGAACAACTTGTATCGCTATATTCATATGAAAAGCTTCGAAACAAAAATAATACTTGTTTTTCAAAGTGGTCAAGGCTTAAGAGCAGTATTATCACAACATCATAAACCAATATGCTGTGTCAGCAGAACTCTTAATGAACACGAAAACAATTATTCGGCAATAGAAAAATAACTTTTAGCTATTGTTTGGGCCACCAAATAATTCAGGTCCTATCAAATATGAAATAACAGCGCTGGAAAATCAAACTAAATGAGTTTGATTATGAAATAAAATATTTGCTCGGTAAAGAAAACCATGTGGCAGACGCCTTATCTAGAATAAGAATAGAGGAAGCTTATTTTGGATTTAATTGTAATTAATTTTTATCTTGTATTCAAAATTTGTCACTTTAATAGAAGTCAACAGTCGAGATTGGTTAGAAGCAAAAGAGCATTAACAAAAGTTTTCAATGAAATAGGTAAACCAAATCAAATTAAAGCCGACAAAGATTCAGCTTTCATGTGTGCAGCATTGCAACTTTGGTTAAAATCTGAAAATGTTGTTATTGATATAACAACAAGCAAAAATGGAATTTCTGATGTTGAGAGATTTCATGAAACAGTAAATGAAAAATTAAGAATTATAAACAGTGAAACAGACATAGAAAATAAGCTAACAAAATTTAAAATTATTCTTTATGTCTATAATCATAAAACAAAGCATAATACCACAGGCAGAACTCGTGCAGATCTTTTCATTTTCACTGGAACTCCAAAATGTAATACACAGTCTAATAAAATCAATAAAATAGAGAAACTTAATAAATCACGAAATAAATTCGAATTTGATACTAGATATTGTCAAGCTCCACTAGTAAAATCAAAAACCACTAATCCGTTTAAAAGACAGAAAAAATCACTAAATTAGATGATAATTATTACGAAGAAGTTAACAGAGGAAAAAAAATACATTATAAGTCTAAATATAAGAAAACAAAGAAAATTAACGAAAATAAATACGATAATTCCAGATGCACGCCAAATGAAAACAAAACCTAACTTGTTGATCAACACTATCAACATCCTATT